ATACAACCTAATTATAAATAAACAAAATAAATACACTCCGTAAATACAAACATTTACGGAGTACATTAGTGTTCTTTATGGCATTTTTCAACTCAATTTTTTTCATTAGTGTTCTTTTGTACATTATCTTACTTACCCATTTTTTGTTCTATCCAGCTTGTAGTTTTTCTAAGTTTATATTGCTTATATTTCGGAAAATGACATTTTTCAATCCTGTCCTTTTATATAAGCTCAGTAGCTTATTAAAGAAAGAACTATTTTGGAGTCTAAAAACGTATATTTAAAATAGTTCATATTCAAAATAACCATTTTTTATCGTTTTAGGTAGACACAATTAACCATTTTGTCAACATGTTACCCAATCCAACAACAGTTCCAGTTGACTAATCTTGTCTATGTCAATGTCGTTTTTAGCATAACGAGAATTCGAATAAATATTTGCTGATTTAGCGAATTGAAATATATATATATATATATGACATAAATAAGAGGTAAATATTACATTTAGTTGGATTTATATTTATAAATATGACTTATGTTATAGAGTTAATAAAAATATATAGAAATTTTCACCATAACATATATATTTAGTTGAAATGTTCTCATTTAATAATTTTTTTTTCGTCAACTAAACTATTAATCAAATGGCACCACTAGAATTGGTAATCAATTTCGGCGGCAAGTTACTTACAAACAAAAAATCAAAAGCTCGAGTATGTACAAAACGGACTAAACAGCCCGTCTTTAAATTATTGGAATGGAAAACAAAAGATAAAGAAAATTTTGGAAGACAGTTTTGGATCTTTCGGAGTTTGCCTGACAGAATCGAAAATGTGGGCCACTCGGCTGTATTCTTGACTATATCCACCAGGTCAAAACAGTCAGTCTCAAAAGCATGGCAGTCCATTCCACTCTCCAACACGCATGACACCGCCCAAATCAGTGTTTCCATTTCTAAATGCAGTGACGATCTCTTCTTTCTTAATCCTTAAACCTAATCCCTGAGGTTGCATCTGTATCCTTCAATGACTAAGCCACTATTTGGATATCCTCTCATGAAGTGGCTTCCATTTCTGATACACAATAATTTATATTTCATTGATTAATTTAAATAATAACATATTTTTTAAAATCTTCGTTAAATGAAACATACGACGACAGAAAAAAATGTAACATATTAGTTTTCACCTCAAAATATCTTATTATATAAAGGAGGATGCGCACGAAGAGAACGCGACACGTAAGCAAAATTCTTATTCACGAGATCATGATATGTGTAATTATTCTTTAAGATTGTGACATGTTTAAATATTAACAAAAAAAATTAAAAAGAAAATAAGTAATATATTCTAAACAAGGAATATGGACTACTTAAAAAAAAAGAAAAAAAATTGTTCTACTAAAATATGTAATATTAAGATTTCCAATATTAACAAAATAATTTAAAAAGAAAATAAAAAATATATTCTAAACAAGAATTATGGAATAATTAAGAAAAAAAGAAGGAAAATCTTTACACAACCATAAAAAAAATTAGAAACGTTATAGAAAGTTCAATTTAAAAATTTAGAAATATACACAACCATACAAAAAAACCTATAATAATATTTATTTTATCAATATAGAGTTACAGAATATCACAAAAAATGGAAATTTTCGACCTATGACACAATTGGTACTCTTCGAATGTATATATTGAAAATTTATATAAGTTAAAAAAATAGTAGTATTATATTTACTATTAAATTAATACTGTATAAAGTTTGGCGAGTATAAATGTGTCTGAGAAATAAAACGATGACAGTAATAAAATACAATTGTCACTCATGTACTTATGTGATGGTTCACAACATTATTTATAGTTTTTATAAGGTTACTAACATAAA